CTTGCCCCAAGGTAAAAAATGTTTAGGTAGCAGTATGCCCCCTCTTATATAAACATGAATACTCACTCGGTCCACTGCTGTGCCCATCTACAGCGCCTCTCCCTGGTCTCACAGACTTTGCTGAGGCAGTGGATGTCATTGGCTCCTGCTGCCAGTCAAATCCTGTAATAAGGGAGCAGGGGCGGAGCCGAGCCAAGCTGTCTGTGTCTATGGATGCAGGCAGCATGGCTCAGGATTGAGCTCACAGGTGTGCCACCATAGGAACGAAAAATGGCCACTGCCCCAGTCTATAACTGGCCTTCACAGCAAGGAACACATGGACGGGTGACGCGTGTCAAACAACAAAAAAGAAAAATTCCCAGCTCTGACTTGCCAGCCAGCTTGCAAACAAACCGAATTTACCTAACAGTATGCATTAAAAACAGGGTTTTAGTTAGCACACATTTGCAAATACATACGTAAGCTACAGAGCCTCGTCATGGCACCTCAATATTCTGTAGTTCCTAACTCTACAAATTTAAGAGCCCCCATAGTAGAGGCACATGTATTTAATGGATAGACTGAGGGCAGAAGGACCTGAGGGAAGCAGCTTCCTATGGTGTCACACAGTGAAGAGGAAAGGCCAGGGACACCATCGGGGGGACCTGAGAAGAAGAGGATTGGGGCCGCTCTGTGCAATTCCATTGCACAGAGGGAGTATGTATAATTTTTTATTTTATTGAGTTTACAATCACTTGGTTTCATGAACACTGGTTTTTAAAAAAAAAAACGTCTGTGCTCTTGGCAGAAAAAAATGCTAATTTGAGTTTTTTCTGTACTAGTGTTTAGTATTTTTTGTGGCAGAAAAATGGTCTAAAAAAACTCCCACAGAACATAAGGGTCTTGTTTTCTGCCTCTAAACGCTGAGCTTAAAAACCACCTCTAGACTGTCTAATGTGCATGGACACATAGGATGACATTGGTCACTTCTACAGGCAAAACGCTGAACTCCTCTAGGCACAGAGGTTTTTTAAAGCCTATTGTACATGGAGCCTGTATATATTTCAATAGAAATTTTTATGCAGTTAGTTAAATTTAATAGAGTTTTGGGCAGCACAGTGGCTAAATGGTTAGCACTTCCACCTGGCAGTACTAGGATTGTTGGTTCAAATCCCAGCCACGGCACCACCTGCCTGGAGTTTGCATATTCTCCCTGTGCTTGCGTGGGTTTCCTCCAGGTACTCTGGTTTTCTCCCACACTCCAAAGACATGCTGATAGGTTAATTGGATCCTGTCTAAATTGATCCTAGTATGTGTATGTATGAATGTCAGTGTGGGACCTTAGATTGTACGCCCCTTGAGGGTTAGGGACTGATGTGAATGTACTATATATATGTAAATTGATCGCACTATATAAGTACCAGGAATAAATAAAATAATAAATAACACAGAGTTTAATGTCACCCAGCAAAGGCTAAAAATTCAGGAGTTCTGAGCCAGCTGTGACTTCACTGCCTGCATGCTTGTTTTAGATCAGTGGGTACTGAAGCCAGGGGATGATCACAAATGCCAGGCAGAATGGATTTTTTTAAAGGTGAGGTCAGTAAGGACAGGTTTCCTTTAACCCGAATAGCAGTAATAAAGGATCCGGTGGTGTAGAGGATGAGGATGAGAGGAGGAGGAGGAAATGTTCTAATCTGGGATCATCCCTGGTGGTCCCGCTCATCCCTTGTACAGTCCCGGCCCGGTGACCTTGGACTCCGAACCCCGGGCAGAAAATAGCTCGCCGACAATAGGCGCTCCTCGTCCTCTATTTTTGGTCCGGTAACCTTGCGCAGCTTTTCAATGCGAGGAAACGGAGGTCAAGGTGTGTGCCAATGAACACAGGCGGGCTATAATCTCCCGGCTGGATATTAAATCAATGCAGAGGCTTCCAAATGCCAGGACCTGCTTAATTGACCAGCAAATTGACTCAGCCACAATCTTTTATTACAGTGCTCATTGATTACTGAACACAGAGCCGGCCGGGGGCTCCGCTACGCCGATCTACAAAGACTAGTGCGCCAGAATCCCGCTCCGCGCCCGCGCATCTACGCCGCTTCACCGCTGCATCTACGCCGCTCTTCTTCCATCGGGAGACTTTCCTCCTACATAGAAATCGTTTGGAATACAGATTGTTATTTTGAAAATATTGTTATATGATTGAGATATATATATATATATATATATATATATATATATATATATATATATATATATATATATAAAAAAAACATATATATTACATTTATTGTGTTACATTGTCTCATTATTATTATTATTATTATTTGTGTTTCCTATTTGTATCTCTTTGCTAATATTTTGTTCCTTATTCTTCTTTGGCCTAAAATGTATATATATTAGCGAACATAAAGCTAATTTGGAAGATATATGTAAAATATTATTTTTTCTATTAGGTATGTAATAATATATGGGTGTTTGTTTCATGGCAGTAACATATATACTAATTCTTCTTTTGCTTAAATCTAATCTATCTGATTATTTTGTTCTAGACTAATTGATCTTCATAGTAGAAAAAGGCTTCGGCTTAATTAAACATTCTTCTCTGTAATTTTTATAGTGTATAAAAATATCACACATATGCCTATGTCGGGAATATATTTCTAGCAATGTACAAGTGCAGTGACAATATTCAGTTACACCTGCTTTATGTATGATAGATATTAGTAGGTTGGGGGTCGGCTTGTTTCTTAATTCTTATTATTTATCATTAATATTATTATTATTATTAATATTGTTTCTTAATTACCCGAGCGTACTGTATTTTGCATGTATGTATAGACAATATATAAAATTAAAAAGCAATATTTACAATAAAAAAGAGTTATATTAGATATAATCTCACTGTCTGCAATGCAAAGTATATATTTATTTATTTATTTTTTACATAGTGTAATATATTCTCTCACGAAATTATATATTTATCATCATATTCATCATGACATATACCATAAATTGTGTTACAATATCTATGAGTGTGATTAAATAAGGAACCACACATTTTAATCAGCTAAAATTCGTTTCTTCTCAGCCTTACACTTTGTTTATAGAATTTGAATATATATATAGAATATATATATATATATATATATAGAATATATATATATATATATATATATATATATATATAAACATTTCATATATATATATGTAATACGTAAGCTCCAAAGTTTATATATATATGTGTGTGTGTGTGTGTTGTATATATATATATATATATATATATATATATATATATATATATATATATGTGTGTGTTGTATTATATATATATATATGTGTGTGTTTTGTATTTGTATTATATATATATATATATATATATATATATGGGTGTGTGTTGTATTATATATATATGTGAGTGTGTTGCATTATATATATATATATATATATATATATATATATATATATATATATATATATATATGTGTGTGTGTATTTTTTTTTATATATGGTATAATGGTTAATATGATTTTTCCCAAGGTAACCCCCTATCTTCCTTATCTTATCCCACCCAGGGGCACACCAGATGTTATCTCTGATTAACCTGTGTTATTTTGCTCTGCTGTACACTCATTACAATCCCCATCCAGGACAGATCACACGGGTGCAAATCACAGGGACGATCTACTTAAACAAACTGACCCATCAGAACTTTGTCTCGCTTTTCAGGACCGTGTGAAAGTGTTTAAGAGGAATAACAAGTCACCCTGAAGTGATAGAGAGGAGGTGAAAGTTCATTATCGTTTAATGTGAATTTAAGGGCTTGCCACTCTGGGTAATGGATAGCTCCCCTGTACACTGGTGACAGTCTGCTATCTCTTGGGAGCATCTAGGATCGGGCATGCAGAAACGATCATCATCCCCATACATCTGACCTACACAGATCCTGTCATGGCATTTCAATTAATACTGCTGTCACTGCTACTAGCTAGGTCTGGGCAGTGGGGCTGATTTGCTAAGGGAAGGAGAGGATGCAAAAGTTCACTTGTATCCTAGCAACTAAGGTGAAGTCCTGTTCAATATGAGCACCCAGCAACTTGCATGGGAATCTATCTAACTATAATATATATATATATATATATATATATATATATATATATATATATATATATATAATTTTTATTGTTTTTTAAATGCCCATTCACTTTGCAAAGGGGTCAGTCTCGACACTTTTAGTAGATCAGCCCTAATATAACAAGCATGAATTGAACACAGTCAGTACTCTTTTGTAAATCAGCCCCAATGCAATATGTATGAACATACTAGATAGTTTAATATTTAGCTAGAGATAGCAACACTGCAAAGTGATGTTTATTTGATTTTAGCTAATTATGTATTATATAGAGTCCTGCACATCATATATCAATGGATCTCTCTCTCTGCCCCTTCTACCTATGATCTTACAATACCAATACAAGCCTACATTCAATACACACACAACAGCACAAGACACTCAATAGCATACAATCTGTCCATCCACAGATCACACGATCACCTAAAAGCTCCATAACTCTAATACATATTCACAGACAACTCAATGTAAGGATGTATATTTAAAAGTAAAGGGGATGAAGATCTGGGGGGGGGGGGTACTTACAGGACCCAATTAATTTCTGCAGCATCCTTGAACTGATGCACAGCCCAGCAATGTTATTTTTGTTGCTTATATGAGCCTAGTGCGTCACTGTCAGATATGTAATAAGTAGGAGAGCTGACCCCCTCCCCTCCCCCAGCAGTGTGGAGTGCTATGGCAGGGGGTGCAGTGTATGAATGGGATCCGGCTCCTCCTCCCTTACTATCCTCTATTAGAACATTAGGGACCTGGCCAGGAGGAGACACACGGCTCCGGCAGCTCCCACACTGCACAGCTCCACCGGGACAACGCTGGGGACTTTGTCAGCTCTGAGTAGTCACCTCTGCCTGGACTGAGCCCACAAAGGGACCGAGCCTGGAAGGGTCAGATGGGGTCCGATGTGCGGGATATGAACACCCTCCTACCCCCAGTCTCCTCCCTGGCCGGGAATAGCAGCTGTAATGTACCGGTGAACAGCAACACCCAGTGGGCCCCGGTGCTGGACTTCCCCCCGGGGGCCCCGTATACCTCCCTCGCCCCCCACTCGTTCATCAAGCAGGAGCCCACCTGGAACCCGGATCTTCACGAGGATCAGTGCCTGAGCGCCTTCACCGTCCACTTCTCCGGACAGTTCACCGGCACCGCGGGGGCATGTAGGTACGGAGCCTTCGGGGCACCACCTCCTAGCCAAGCCTCCACGGGACAGCCTCGGATGTTTCCCAATGCCCCTTACCTATCCAACTGCCTGGAGAACCAGCAGGGCATCAGGAATCAAGGTAAGGACACTTACCTCCACCAACACCAAATATCCCATAATAAAACACCTCAAAAGCTGGATAACATGGGTGGGACAACAAGGAAATTGATATATCATTTTCAACTGCATGTTGTCATTAGAGAGATGTAATATATACATATGTAACACTTGGCTTTAGGTTACCTTTCTGAAAAGTAAAATGTTTATATATGTGTATATTATACTGTGTGTGTTTAATAACTGTACATAATAGTATATTGTTTTTTTTTTTTAACAAATAAAAGGTATATTAACCATTAATAGGATTAGATTATAAGGACTACCCATCTGTTTTGTAACATTGAAGTAAGAACAATTTGCTTCTAGGAAGTTTCCGCACTTTTATCCATATATATATATTTATAAAATATATATAAAATACATAAAAGTGCAGAAATCTTTTACAGAACTATATATAGTTCTGTACCTAGAGTTATATATATATATATATATATATATATATATATATATATATATATATACAATTGAAAACAGAATTTGCTTGGCAAATATATATATAACTGCCAAGCAAATTTTGTTTTTAATTGCAATATTAAAAAGACACACAGTGTTATCAATAGTAAATATACCTTTTACTTGTGAATATAGCAATGTATTATTATTTACAGTTATTTCTGGATATGCTACAGTAATTGCTATTTATCACGCAATACGTGTCGAGAAAAGTTGTATGTGCATTGATCATTGATATTTATATTTTAATTAATCTGCATGTGAAATGCCCATTTTGTCTAATATATGTAAGTAGTTTGGATTATTTTGTAAAACAGAGGAAGTATTAATATGTAATAACTAATGTACAGAAATTATTAGACATATATGTGAAATGTGTTTTATGTGTGTGTGTGTCATGATTTTTGTTTGTTGGTTCAGTTTTCTATATTTTCGGTATGTCTTCTGTTTTTTTCTCAACTGGGTTGTAGGCAGATTGGAGCATAGAGCCTTCAAATTCCATGTACGAATTGGTTTTATATATAATAGTTTTAACAATATTAATAGTGTTCACATTTTAATATGCAAAATCTTGAGAAGAATAGGAACAGGTAATATTTACCAAGGTAATCTATACATTGCTTATCTCCTGTCCAGAAATCCCACTGACAATCCCACTGATAACTGTCAGTTTACCAGGGCAACGGGCTGTCAGTAATCAGCAGAGAGGCCTTTACATATCCAGCCTTGACTACTAAATTGACCATACATTTTACAATCTGATTGTACAATCTAACAGTACTGGTTTTAAATTGAATGGATTGTTTAGGTAGACACTTGTGCTGCATAACTGTTGGTAAATCTAAGATTGTACTGATTGTAATAGGTGAGTCTATCACTAATAGTAGTCAATGAGGGTGATTTACTAATGGGGCAGACTATTCACATCGCTTAGTGAATATAGTGAAATTGTTTTACCTTCAACCTTATGTTTAGGTACATCCCAGAATCCTTTCCTTTACAGGTTTGAGTCTGCAAACTGAACCCCTTGCTAGATTATTTTTGAGTCCTCTTAGTACATTGCATTCTACCCCACCATGATTTTAGGCTGCTTGCAGTTGTAATCATATTCCAATCTCTCTCTCTCTCTCTCTCTCTCTCTCTCTCTCTCTCTCTCTCTCTCTCTCTCTCTCTAATAATTTTTTTTATAGATATATGATAAATGATAAATATGTAAATAATAGACAGAAAGATAGATTTTTGGGGTCTATAGAGCCCCTTTAAGTTCAAGTTCAAGAGGAAACAGTAATACAGTGCACATGAGGGGAGGTGGGGGTTGGAAGGAGGGCAGCATGATGGATTATAAGAAAGGGGATTACTGCTGGCTGCAGACCTCCTACATAATCCCAATACACACATGTACAGTGTGATCACACAGACTGGTGTACTTGTAAACTAATGGAGTTTGTTGGTGGCTGCCTGTCCCACTAAAACCTGACACAAGAATATGCTAGTAGCTTATTCTATAATAAGGCAGCAGGCATAAACAATACAGCATAGAACATCAATCCAAATCCCACATTGATCTGTCTTCAGTGAGCTGGATCTGGTTGTATGGGTTGTTACACTAGACTAGACTTTAGCTTTTCAGCAGTGAACAAGCATCATCGTGCATTTCTATTTTATAATATAAGGCGATATACTTTCAAGTTTACATATTACTCTCTAGGGTCGAATCACCAAAGAAATAGACATGGTTTACTTAGCAAAGTTTAGTAAATAAGTTGTTTTTGTTGATTAACCAGCAATATTTTTTTTATTTTCCCTCTCACCTGATTGAGTATTCAAAGTGAACACAGGTTCATCGTATTTACTATCATTCACTTTGTAAATGAACATCCAGTTTGCTAAATGAACAGCCCCAATAACCTAAATTAAAAAAAAAAAAAATTCTATTTTTTTATTCCCTTCCTCTTTGATTGTAAGCTCCAAGGAGCAGGACCCTCCTATCCCTCTTGTATTGAACTGTATTGTTGCTGTATTGTCTCCCGTTATATTGTAAAGCGCTGAGCAAACTGTTGGTGTTATATAAATCCTGTATTATAATAATAAGAAGAGTTTCATTGGTCTTAATAAATAAGGGGAAGCTGTGTTCATTGTAATAACAAGGAAGTGCTGGATCTTTTTTTTGTTTTTGTTTTAATATCCTTCCCTCACATGCATGGGGATTAAAATGAATACAGGTTTACCTTACATACAAACATTAGTGAATAACCTCTACGCCTGTAAAGAACTCTACTCTAGGTGCTTTGATACAAAAATTACTGTTTTTGGGTTACTTTTATTTAATCCTCCATAATAGCCTAGTATGTACTGTATATCTGGGATTTTTATGTGCAACATGCTATCTGTCTATCTACCCACATGCAATAGAAGCAAGTGTTCATAAGTGTTTTACCATCAATTTTACAAGAGTAGCTGTAATCACTGACAATAAACATCCTTGATTCTGTAGATAGTTTTAAGGAATTAATGCAAAAAGGCGATGTAAAAATAAGATTACCTTACTTTATGACGGCATATAAACTAGTCCACCAATATCTAATATTTAAAAAGAATAAAATATGCCACTTAAAAAAAAAATCTGAAAATCCTTTAAGCAAAAGCAATACAGCTTGTAATAAAAAACATAAGGTCAATTTAATTCTACAGTTACTGCCATGTAGTCAAAAGAATTACCATTATCATTCGGTAATTGGGAATAAGAGCAAAAATAAAATAAAAGTATACACGTTCTATAAATATTTGTATTAAATAATTAGCTTCTGAGGCTAATAGCTACAACAAAAATAATTTAAGTTATTATATGGATTTCTGGGAGTTGAATATCGGCATTTCTTTGAGTTTAATATATGATATAGAAGTATATGAAATAGTATAATATAATAGTATATAACTAATAGGAAAAATTAGATGATCCGATCTCAAATATTAAAATATTGCCTGTAGTGTATATATATATATATATATATATATATATTTATATATATATATATATATATATATATATATATATATATATATATATTCATGTACATACAGTTTAAGCATTGTAGATGCATGCTGCTAATGTGAAATTGTTCATAATGTGTATATATATATATATATATCATGTACATACAGTTTAAGCATTGTAGATGCATGCTGCTAATGTGAAATTGTTCATAATGTGTATATATATATATATATATATATATATATATATATATATTAAAGGCAAGGTGAAGTTCGCCATGATTTTCGCCTGTAGCATATGCACAAAAATGCTACGTACATTTTATATATAACATAGCCATCTAATATATGCAGTGTGTATAATATAATTGATAGATCGAAATTTAAATTTGTGACATATTATCATATATATATATATATACAAATAATGTCCATGACCAGAGGATTGTAGATGAAGATATGTTGAGGCTGATAATTTACAAGGAAGTTGAGAATCTTCACTCAATTTCACTTATATCTAATCTCGTGAAAATATAATTCCTGGATGTATTTCATCTGCACAAGATTGGATACTTGAAGTGAATATTCACACAATCGTGTTAGGATTAATTAAGATTTTCAACCCCTTCAGTAAATTAGCTCGATTTGCATATATATATATATATATATATATATATATATATATAATATGGCAGCATATTATTGTTTCAGCTAATATTTATCAATCTATCTGATATATATATATTTTTTATTAGTTTTTAATTAAAACTCTGCCATAACATAAGTGTATATTTGGGTAATACAATTTTTTTACTAAAAATGTAAAATAATTCCTCTCAGTCTGTGTAGTTGACATCTTGACAATATGAGATAATCATAGCTCCCCTGTAATCGAATGTAATTGGTTCAGCATGGTATGTGAAGATAGTAATGATCTCCTTTAATAACTATCTGGGAGTCATCGTCCACAGTGAGGATGGACAGAGTCAAGGTTAAACCTTCCATTCTTCTCTTTGGGCATCGTGGGAAAAGCGTTACCTTGTTGGCACGATCCCCCCATTAGCCAAGTGGTGGAAAGGTCTCCTTTAGACGTGTGCCCAGTTCTTGGCTTGCTATGGGGGCAGCCACCCCCTGTGTGCAGACAGCTGTGGACCATTCATGTTTTTCAACACGTCCTAATCAGCCCAGGCGGCGATAAGAAGTTAATTAAAGAGAACTTACTAGGAAGATTCCCTCAGTACTGGCGAGCCTTATCGGATTCCTAAAGCTTTGGGTCAGGCGAGACCTGGAACCGTGACCAAAGCATGGCTCTGCTCCGAGGATGGACTTGTCAAGGTCACAGATGAGAAGAATAATCTGGACGAATGTGTGCAGAACACAGCCTGCCTGTCTATGGGACAATACCAAGGAGCCTCCAATACATCTGCTGATGTGGGAGCCATGTACAAAAGGGGGGTGGGGGGCACAAAATATTATTCTTCAAATTATTACTTTTCAGATCTTTAGAGTTAT